GGGCTATTCTAGCTATGCGCCGACGGGTACTCAATGTGTAAGATACAGTCGCGTTAACAAGAGTGCCTCCGCACAATTCCACTGGGAGTGGACAGGGTCTAATTGTCCATTAATGTAGTTGAGGTAGTACAAGCACGTTCCTAAATATACCTTTAGAACCGTAGGCTAAGATTTATAATAAGTTTGAGTACCTAAATATTAACTTTATAATAAATAATATTAGTTAATAAACAACCGGGAACAAATTACGCACGGGATTCAGGCTCCAATTTACGATTTCTTGCGTTATTGGTGACAAACATATTGTTACGCCGGTAAAAGTAACGCCATCTATCGCCGAATAGTCGAAACGAATATCAAAGGATCTAGTAACATCTAGAACGCTCGAGAAGTACAACGCCATCTGTTGTCAGATAGCGGAAACACACATCGAAGGTACTCGACTAGTGAGGAATGTTCTCGACGATTCTAGGGATGTCGCATCGACTATAAAAGCGTTGCAGAGATGGCATGCAGTCAGTTAGTAATCGGAACTACTCGAAGCGAATGGATCACTTGAAGCGAAGCGGAAGAAGTGAATTAAGAATTTTATAGTGTGAGTGCTCTGAGTGCAAATACAGTTTAAGTTGTACTTTGGTGGAACATTCATTTATTCTGAATCCCAGCGCGTAACAAAATATATATGTACGTTTAAAATATATACTTATAAATATATAGATTATAAACACCCTGATAAAGGGAAAATAAACCTGTTTATCACAAAATGTTCGCCCGATGTGGGAATCGTATCCACGACCCTCGGCGCAACAGTAAGGGCGGTGTTTAGGGCGACTTTTTTTATGATATTTTTTCCAACATTTAAATGGCTCTCTTGTAAAATTGCAACAATCGATTGACACCCCCGTTGACTGGTGACATCCGCGTATGCAAGATCTCTTCTGTCTCATCACTTAAAACTCGGTTATGAATACTCATTTTCGATATTTTTGGAGTGACGGTTGTAGACCTACTTTAGTTTACAGTGTCTTGACCTTGATTGCTTATCTGGAATTGCCGATGTCAATGGATGAGAATGACAACTATTAATGTTTATTTTAACCAAAGCTAGATTACGGCTATTGTCAGCAACGTTATATAGCTGATGTCAGCAAGTCGCTGCTATAGTTAGCAACATAATTTTTGAATTGATTGCTATCGTCAATAATAATAATAGCGGCCTATTGTCAGCAAGATTAAATTTTCAGTTTCCATTAGTACTGTCAGTGACATAACCCAGTAACTACATTACCGATCTTGCGGACCGAATGGTAAACAGTCGACGTCGCCCCAAAACACGTCATTTCGGATCCTCCCGATCCACTAACGGTGCTTTTAGGTACCCCAAGCACCGGCTATCGTTCTCTTCGAACCCATCGCTTACGACGAAAGGCTCGGCGAGTAAATTAACCCACAGATACAGCCCGCTGAGTTTCTCGTCGGATCTTCTCAGTGGGTCACGTTTCCGATCCGGTGGTAGATTCTGCGAAACACGGCTTTTGCTAGGGTTCGTGTTAGCAACAACGTCAGGTTTGAGCCCCGCGAGCTCACCCACTAGTTCGGTGAACCTAGAATAACCTCTCGAGGTCACTAGAATAGATAGGGAAAAAAAGTTACATAAATTCTTTGTATTTATACTTTCACACAACTAATCCGTTGACCCATGGCGAGTTTCTGTCCATTAAAGCCGTTACTATGTCATTACTTTAGTTGACTCGGAAATTATTTAAGCGTATATATAAAGTACTGTGTATATTAAACGACATCCGAAAAAGGCTCTCTTGCATCTGCCGAGAACGTGTTATGAGCTTCTTCGGACACATCATGCGGTCTCCCAGACGTGAATTAGAGAAGCTCATAATTACGGGTCGCATAGAGGGCAAGCGCGCTGTGGGCAGAACACCAGCCAGATAGTCAGATTTAGCAAGAGAAGCACTCGGTGGTAGTCTGTACCATGCAGTCCATGCCACCCATGATCGGGCACATTGGAAGTACGTCGCATGTGGTCGCGATCCTCAGTAGTGAGGGACCGATATAGAAGAGATATTAAAGGAAATTAAAGAATGCTTAAATAGACCACTATTATATACGTTGGTCATGGACATAAACAACGTCAGGGGTAAAGTTAACCCACCGCCTACGCCAAGAATTTGGGTCGCTCGCTCTCATGCTTACGGAGATAATTAAAATAATAATTTCCGACCAGGATCCCGTGAGCTATAAGAACGGCGCGAGAATATAATATTTTAAGGCAAACGAAGCATCGCAGAGTAAATTCTTCGTTGACATTCAGAAAAGCGATTTGAAATACGAAACTGAAGTCGAGAAAGTTTCGAAAAAAACTTAGTTTCAAAACGTAATTTATACGATTTGTTTTTAAATAAAAAAAGCTCTCCTCAGGATGTATCCACAGTTTTATTTTAACTAGAGGTCCCGCAGTAGTCGAAATTCGACTATAATTAATTGGAATTGTAAGTTTGTACACTATTATGATTGTATTTTATACTTCTATAATCACAAATTTCGCCAATACAAACAATATTTAATCTATTCTCAATTTGACCACAGACGTCAAGAACAAAAGTTTGACAATAAGTAGTATGCATCCGTGTGTGCGTCAAATACATGGTATGTAGTGTGTAATGTTTTCTTTATTGATTTAACGTATCTTTTATGCATTATTAAAAAAAAATATTAGCATTGTACACTTCTTCTCTATATTCTCTATAAGTGTGGAAAATATCATACTCCTCCGTCCCCGCAATTTTCGTAAAAAGGGATACAAAGTTTTTGCTTCACGTATTAATATATAGATGGTTCAAAACAAGAACTCGACAAGTTCAATGTATTTAAATATGAGGGTAAAGAAGGGTGCATTTATATCTGTGTTTGTAGAAGCTTCTTACATGGACCGTGCTTTGGAAGACCACAGACAGATCACGCTGTGATTGCCGTGAACGGAAATTTGAAAATAGTGGAGAACATATAATATATGTCGGCGTTAAGCCAGGCTTTTCACACATAAGTTCTTTTACAGTGAAAATACAATACAATTCTATAAAACTTTAACATTACTTGTATAATACAAAAAGCCACGTCTTAGTCCTGACTCAATTAGCCATTTTGTATCGGTTATAGCAACTACAACTTCTTTTATACAAACAAATGTAATTACTGCGAAGCAATTCACAAAATATAATATTCACAATACATATTTTCGTGATTTTTATATGACTGACATTAACTTATTTTACATGAATTACTTTGAACTTATATAAACTAACATTGTTATTATCCAGCCCATTAATAATAGATGGCGCCAACATCATTTCATAACAATTACAATACTTAATTAATTTATTACTGTTAATTATAACATAAATTATTATTAATATTTATGCTTTATTAATATTTAATTATTTATACAGTCATTTGTGTTTTTAAACAATAATATCAACAATAATCATATTCTGAACATTTTCACATAAAAACAGTGTCTGTTAAATAATAAATATGGTAGAATAGTTGAAACTACTATATGATACTTGGTAATAAAAAATAAATACTAACATAGAATAAACTAAACTATATATTATTATGTTAATTATTGCCAATAGTGGCGTTTATGCCCATATATACACACAGTGCTCTTGTATACAGAATCCCCGTTATTTGTGAGAGAAGTTGTGAACGCGGCCTAATCTAATTATGCCGCGGTTTCGCGCTCAATCGATTGAAAGAACACTCGAAGCAAAAACTTTTTACGTTTCGTATGTAAATATTTTGAATCCATTACACTTGCGAACAAAATTTTAACTTTCACAAGTCAAAATTAATGTTAACTTCGCAATTACCGATATAAAGTCTTATGAATAATGATTTAGAGCTTAAATTACCTTTTTAATAAACTCGGTATTGTAATAATGGGAGGGATTACATCATGCTGCTATTTTTCATTATTCAGCACGAGTGAAAGACTTAAAACAGGGCCAATAGTGATATATTATATCTTTATATTAATACGTGAAGCAAAAATTTTGTATCCCTTTTTACGAAAATTGCGCGGACGGAGGAGTATGAAATTTCTCACTTTTATAAAGAATATAAAGGAGAGCAGAATGCTAATATTTAAAAAAAAATGCATTATATGCACATAAAAATGCATAACACATATATATAGGTACCTACTCTTTGTTTATTGTCACACTTTTTTTTTTATTGCTTAGATGGATGGACGAGCTCACAGCCCACCTGGTGTTAAGTGGTTACTGGAGCCCATAGACATCTACAACGTAAATACGCCACCCACCTTGAGATGTAAGTTCTAAGGTCTCAGTATAGTTACAACGACTACCCCACCCTTCAGACCGAAAGGTATTACTGCTTCACGGCAGAAATAGGCAGGGTGGTGGTACCTACCCGTGCGGATTAACAAGAGGTCCTACCACCAGCGACATTGGGTCAATAAAAACTAGAATAAGAGTAATTCAGATAAGCCAGTTTATTAACATTAAAAAGAATTAGAAAAATGTCTTTCTTCTGCGTAGCAATTTATTAAGATAACCATAACTCAAGAGCTGTTTGGATTTCAACTTTCAGTTAATAAATTAAAAATAGCTTATATGCGAATGGTTATTTATACACTTAGATATTATGTGTTATTAAGAAACCTTTTGGATTTGTGCTCCACACAGTAAAAGTGCAAACAGATCTTTGACCAGTACGCGATCTTAACAACTTGAAAAATCATCTTTCTTAAGCGCATGCGCACTAATTGAGCGATATTGTGTGTGTACTATGAGTTTCTTGCCCATTCTAAAGAGGTGAAACTGCATTGCAAATCGATGGTGACAAAGACCACTATGAAGATTCAAAATCGCACGAAAAGGCCCACTTCAATGTAAAAAACTTTTTAATTTTGATATTAGACAAAAATGTAACAGAAGAAATTTTTGGTGTTCAATCTATTTGATACCGATTCCTATTCCTTGTTCATTGTCAACCGTCAGCCATCGCAGCTCGTTGTGAAGTTTCTCAAGTTTCTCCTTGTCTAATTTTGCTTCTCTTAACTGCGATTCAGCCAACTGAAAAGTATGAAGTTTTGAAGGCGTCGTAGCCTAAAGGATAAGACGTCCGGTGCATTCGTAAATAGAAATGCACCGGTGTTCGAATCCCGCCGGCGAGTACCAATTTTTGTAATGAAATACGTACTTAACAAATGCTCACGATTGACTTCCACAGTGAAGGAATAACACCGTGTAATAAAAATCAAACCCGCAAAAATATAATTTGCGTAATTACTGGTTGTACTGGCTGCGTAAGTACTACTCTTGTGAGTCCGCACGGGTACCCTGCCTATTTCTGCCGTGAAGCAGTAATGAGTTTCGGTTTGAAGGGTGGGGCAGCCGTTGTAACTATACTGAGACCTTAGAACTCATATCTCAAGGTGAGTGGCGTATTTACGTTGTAGATGTCTGACTATTAAATAATTTTAGTGGAACCAACTCGCAAAAATGAGTTCCTTGCCGAGCAGTCACATGTACTCGTTAGAATTACAGGCTTACAGTATACATTCTACCTGTCTTTGCTTCGTAAGCTACATGCGGAGTCCATATATCTAGGTCTAAATGAGAGGTCATTTGTCTCTCAGACAAATGTTCGTCATTCTGAAATGCAGAATCATCCAGTGCCATTGGTACTTCCATTTCATAGCTTCTTTTTTCCTACCTAATTGCTAGTAGCGTTAAGGGCTATTTCAGGGACTCATAAACCAGTAGGTGAGCTCACGGCCTCAACCTGAGAGAATTACCTAATACTTGCCCTAGCAAGAACAGTGCTTTGTTGAAACTACCATCGGTTTAGAAACGCGATCTATTGTGAAGATCCGGCGAAAAACTCAATGGTTTGTGCTTATCGTACTTATCTTAAGTAACCCCGTGACCTCATCTACCCATTGATCCCTAAATCTCTCGGTTTTGCCCGAGTCAGCCTAACTCAAGAAGCAAATTTAAAAATTACGCACCTCCAATTTTTTCTCTAGAACGTCATCTTGAATATCCTTAGTCCTTCTGTAGTTCAAATTGTTGTTCTTGTAATTTCGCCTGTTGAATTGGTTTAAAGGAACGGTGTCTCGCCTTTTCAAATTGCCAATTATAACATTATCGGAACCGAAGAGGTCTTGGCAAGAGATTAGAACTATGTGAAAGTAAACAAACGCCAAAGCGTTCTCCATCTTAACAACTGAATTCGTTTTATAGCCAATTCGTGATTTGAAATAGCACCGATACTTAAACGTGCTGCAGTAAAATATGTTATTATTTCGAAACACAGTCAAACAATTGTGTCATTCTGTAATTCTATCAGTGCTTTATTTTTCCTACCTATGCTGATAGCCTTGAGAGGCTATTTCAGCTTCGCCCTAACGTTTGTAGGTGAGCTCGCGGGGCTCAACCGGAGAGTTGCTAACACTGACCCTAGCAAGAGCAGTGCTTCGCAGAATCTACCACCGGATCGGAAACGCGACCCACTGAGAAGATCCGGCGAGAAACTCAGTGGGCTGTGTCTATGGGTTAGTTCGCTCGTCGAGCCCTTCGTCGCAAGCGACGGGTTCGACGAGGACGGTGACTGGTATCAGTGCTGTAACTTATTTAACATTTTATGACATAGTATATAAACCTTTGAAAGTTTTCTTCGGACAAATTTTTTTTAATTGCTTATATGGGTGGAAGAACTCACAGCCCACCTGGTGTTAAGTGGTTACTGGAGCCCATAGACATCTACAACGGCTGCCTCGCCCTTCAAACCGAAACGCATTACTGCTTCACGGCAGAAATAGGCAGGGTGGTGGTACCTACCCGCGCAGACTCACAAGAGGTAACTATACTTGAGACCTTAGAACTTGTATCTCAAGGTGGGTGGCGCATTTACGTTGTGGATGTCTATGGGCTCCAGTAACCACCTAACACCAGGTGGGCTGTGAGCTCGTCCACCCATCTAAGCAATAAAAAAAAAAAGGTCCTACCACCATTTCATATTGAAATAAATTAGTGCACGTGTTGCACTCAATATGTCTATCTAAAAGCATATGAAAATAAGAAAGGTTATTTTGGATGATAGTTGTACCAGATACGAAACGTGTTGTTAACCGTGATGCCAATTATACCAAATAAACATTAGCGCCGGACATAATGTTTTAATAGGACCTCTTTAATATATAAGCACCCGCATGATAGATATATCTAGATTTGACTTAGCTGCGCCACGAGAGAGATACGGATGAGACGTATTAAGCCTCATTTCTCCCTAAAAATATTAAAAGACGCATTGGTTTGATCCTAGCATCATGTTTTTATGATCGACGGCAATAATCTGCCAACGGTGACCTGTCAGATTAACTCCTTCTGAAGACGCAATAAAAATCGAAAAAATAATCAACTTTGTAACTAGTAATATTGCATTAGTACAACCCTCGTCGTCAAACTGTCTATTATTTGTTGTTGTTTGTTTACGTGACAGCCCTATGTCAAATCTATATCAAAATATTATTTATCAAAGCCCATATAAACATAAACGGAGAGCTACTGAATAAATAATTACAATTATTCAAAACTCGTGATTACGGGACTGAAGTATTGTGATTTTTGAAACAGAATCTTTGCTTAGAGGGTGAGTTCTGTTGCTGTTTTTTATATTATGTACATAAATATACCCAAATTATTCAAGTCTAATTCTCTTATTCAATGTACATTTTTATATAAATACTAGCTGACCCGGCAGACTTCGTAGTGCGTCAATCGATAAATAAAAGACCTAAACTTTTATATAGAATAAACTTAAAACAAACAAAAGGAATCCGTCCGACGGGGGACACGTCAAGGGGAAAACAAAATTGTTATTTTTATTTAATTCCGAGAATTTTCATATTTTTATACCTTTTAAACCTTCTCTGGACTTCCACAAATAATTCAAGACCAAAATTAGCCAAATCGGTCAAGCCGTTTTCATGTTATGTCGTCACAACGGAAAACGGGTTTCATTTTTATATATATAGATTGGTATCGTGTTATCCATTTATTTATATACTGGTTGGTGTGCGTATAAAATAACGTGTTAAAATACATTTGTTATGTTTGTGACTTATTCAGCGAGTCGAAGATCTGCATTATGTGAAAGTAGTCCATAGACAGTATTCTATGAAACTAAAATACTGGGTTGCCTTACTACATTACCAAGAACAATAATAGTACCCACTCGTGATTACATTATATATATACATTATACCATTTTCCTATTAATTGGTCACGGCAAATAGTTACCGTTACTTCTTACATTATAATAATGAGAGCCGGAGACAAGTCGTCTGGCCTTAAATTAAAATTCATTTTTTTATGATTGAAGGATTACTGGTGGCCCGGAAGCCTTTCCAGTTTCACCACGACAGGTGGGCAAGCATAGGGTTAACAAGGAGCGGTGGGATTTGCTAACAGCTGCCCGAGCGCCTCCGAAGGAAACCTAATAACTCAAGAGCAACTGCTTCGCGAACGAATCTACTACCGGATCAGAATCGCGACCTGCTGAGAAGATCCGGCGAGAAACTCAGCGAGCTGATGCATTGGTTAGGTTGCACGTCGACCTCTTTGTTCGAGTTCGACGAGTACGGTTACCGGGTTTCCTCAGCCTGCTGTTAGTGTTATAACTGAAGGCGTCTAATGCAAAGGTTATTGGATCTGATAGATCCGTAAGGACGTGTCTAGGGCATCGACGGTGACTGACTTCTGCATGATCAGGATTCGGGAAGTAGTAAGCGGCGGCAACGATATCATGACGATTAGAATTCCCTGGACTTTGGGGACTTATATGAGTACTTGTGTACGTAGACACGTACAGATATTAAGCATCCAGACAAAGAGCAAACAAACTTGTTCATCACACGAATGTTGGTAGTATGGAAATCGAGTTAGGACTGCTAATCATTGCACTACTTAGTCAGTCAATATCGATCGACCATTAAAAAATACAATAGAGCACTTCACTACCGTCTCCTAAAAATCAATACGACATAATAACGGATATTAAAGCTAATTTTAACTATCGAGATTTAAATAACTATAGTTTTCGATAGTTATCTGCTGTGCTGTCCACGTTTAATTAAATTGATAATTTTATAGGTGTTTAGGTGATCGATATTTTAAACTTTTTTTTTTATTGCTTACATGGGTTGACGAGTTCACAGCCCACCTAGCGTTAAGTGGTTACTGGAGCCCATAGACATCCACAACGTAAATGCGCCACCCACCTTGAGATATAAGTTCTAAGGTCTCAAGTATAGTTACAACGGCCGCCCCACCCTTCAAGCCGAAACGCATTACTGCTTCACGGCAGAAATAGGCAGGGTGGTGGTACCCACCCGCGCGGACTCACAAGACCAGTAAGTAATTGATTCTATGAGGTCCTACCACCAGTAAGTAATTGTTTCTATACTAATACAGTCAATAAAAACGAGAAAAATAATAATACCGTCATAGAAAACATTAAGTGTTTATTGTCAATAATGACAGATTAGCACACGGTCGACCAGATGTTTGAGTAGTTAAACAAAAGTCCAAATTCTAGATTAATATCATCATCCGGTGTGCGAGTATAAATTGAATTTAATAGTTTTCCATTAATTGTCATTCTCGCTAAAATGTATTTGAAAATCCTACTATAACAAAGTCTTCGATCATACCGGCATTTCATGAATACGTACTACATCTCAAAACTCTCAAAACAAAAATACTCAACTTTTCAAAAATAACCCGCATCTTCGGAATTGTAACTGGATTTATTTATCTAGACTCACTAGTACATAGTTCATTACTAGCCCACATTCAAATCTCGTTTATTTATTATAATAGATTCCGATTTCCGATAGACACGTTGTTATACTTATGAGGCACAACTAAAATACGATACCACCTAGTATACCTACTGGATACTAGGTGGTATGGTAAAAAATATCTCACTATATATGTGAGTGTTTTTATTTTCTATTGGTAATCCTAAGAAAGCAATTTTCAAACTACCAACGGCAGCCAAAATAGTGTTTAGAAACTACTCATACATACACATCCAGGTTCGAACTAAGGAGCAACTCTAAGCAAAAATTCAACCAAAATAATGAACGAAGGATCCCTAAAATCTATGACACGGTCTGTAAATGAAAAACATCCATTAGCGAGTCACAACTGAATCGGGTAAAGAAGTAAATAGTACTATTGAACACGATACCAAAGAATTTTAACTAAGAAATGCTTCTGAGAAACTACAAACAGAACTTATCGTTTTGGACTTCGGCCAAAAGTAAGTTTGGAGTCTGATTTACTTATAAAACATTATTTACACTAGTTATTTTTTTCGTATTCAGTTGTGGGCTTTTTTTTGACACGTCTTATTGACCTCGAGACGTGAGTTCAAAGTTCTAATTGTATAGTTCCACAGTTGTCATATCTGCCAAACAGCAACGCTTGACTACCTTGCGGAAGAAATAACTAAGTAGGCCTAGGTTGTACCTGTAACTAGCAAATACCACCACCGTCTTAGTTATTTCTTGATCATAAAGGTCGTATTTTAACAATGGAAGATGGTTTCAAAGTGGATGTTTCTATTTAAGGCACCTTTTTGACTTTGAAATTAACAATAACTTTATTGACCTTATGCTTCGTAGTATCTAACAATGCAATTGACATAATTCTAAACGAATCTTAGCATTCAGGTTACGCTTACTTTAAAAGTATCATTTAAGTATATTCTACATTGTTGATTTTATGTTTCCCCAGAAAGCAAGATTCACAAAATTCAAAGCCAAGAAACTGTAACGTTTCAAGGATCTCTAAAACTGGTTTTGTTTATTGGACAATTATTCTCATTATTTCCCGTTGGTGGTCTTCTAAGTAACGATGCGAACAAAGTTAAGTTAGTATTTTCGAAGTGTTTGCTTTATTTTATTGCACTACACAAGTGATTGACTTTCTATCCACCTAATATTTTCTAAAGACTTTTGAGACATGCACTAAGCAATGGTAGGTAGCGACTTGACTATGCCCCTTGCATAGCTGGTGTCTATGCATGAGGGTTTTTTTTTATTGCCCTTGTAGGCAGACGAGCATACGGCCTACCTGATGGTGAGTGGTTACCGTCGCCCATGGACTTCAGCAATGCCAGGGGCAGAGCCAAGCCGTTGCCTACCGCAACCATTCACCACCAGCTGGGGCAAATACTCCTGGATACTAAGGCAAAAAGCTATAAAGGTGGACACATTTTTTTGTAGCTACACCAAAAAGTTTTTTACTTGTGGTAGGACCTCTTGTGAGTCCGCACGGGTAGATACCACCACCCCGCTTATTTCTGCCGTGAAGCAATAATGCGTTTCGGTTTGAAGGGTGGGGCAGCCGTTGTAACTATACTGAGACCTTAGAACTTATATCTCAAGGTGGGTGGCGCATTTACCTTGTAGATGTCTATGGGCTCCAGTAACCACTTAACACCAGGTGGGCTGTGAGCTCGTCTATACATCTAAGGAATAAAAAAAAATCTACTTTGCGGTTATTAGGCAGGCAGGCTGGCAGGTACCTGTTAATTACCTACGTATTTCCTTCGAAAAAAAAAGTGTTTTAGATTTACATTTGAGATGTATGTTGTTAGGCACGAATATTTTACATTTTTTGTTATTAGCAGAATTTTATTTGTCCATTAATTCAATTTTTTAATAAAAATTACCGCAAATGTGCTAGTCTATTTTAAAACTGTTGAAGAGTATATTTGACTGGACTACAAAAAATTAAACGAAATGCTGGACATTGAATGTAAATCCGGTGTAAACAATTATCTATATATTAATACGTGAAGCAAAAACTTTGTATCCTTTTTACGAAAATTGCGCGGACGGAGGAGTATGAAATTTTCCACACTTATAGAGAATATAGAGAAGAAGTGCACAATGCTAATACTTTTTTTAAATAATGCATAAAAGATACATTAAATCAATAAAGAAAACATTACACACACTACATACCATGTATTTGACGCACACAAGCATGCATACTATTTATTGTCAAACTTTTGTTCTTGACGCGTGGTCAAATTGAGAATAGATTAAATATTGTTTGTCTTTGTTAATATTTTTTATAGTGTAGTCTTGGCGAAATTTGTGATTATAGAAGTATAAAATACAATCATAATAGTGTACAAACATACAATTCCAATTAATTATTGTCGAATTTCGACTACTGCTTGATAATAAGAGATTAGTTAAGCGCAATAAGATCTTCGAGTCTCTTTGTTACTAGAATATAGTCAGGAATAGGAAATAATTATCTTTCAATGTATCAGTTAACATAATAATTTACCACACAAAGTCAAGCAGTTTAAAAGGCAGTTCCAATTCGTGGCTATTAATCGTGATTGTTGTTCCTGATAAATACTGGATATGTCTATCTGATTGATAGTATATCAGTGGATCATTAATAACCTACTATTAATGTTGAAGTGACTATTCTAGGTCGATATAATTCTGGTAGGTTTTTAGCATCAATGTTTCTCACGGCCTAGTGTGTTTCTTTAACATATTGAGGAGATCCGCATGGTCGAGATTAGGTGGCTACATATGTATGTTTAGACTGTAACTAATTTTTGTAATATTCGGGAGAATTTCGATCGATGCAAAACAGCTTGTGTGATTCGATTGGATGCAATTAATATATTTGAGGCTGTTAAGTTGAAGGTGGGAAATATTTACGTGTCTAGAGTCTTCATCATAGTAATTAAATTGGATTTTTTTCAAATCATTTAATAAAAAAATAATTTTTAAATTATTACAAGTTAAATTTAGAAGATTAAAAAAATTTGAAGATGAAATAAATTTAGAAGATTAAAAAATTTAGAAGATAAAAAAATAAAAAAAAAATTATATTTTTTACTGGTAGGACCTCTTGTGAGTCCGCGCGGTTGGGTACCACTACCCTGCCTATTTCTGCCATGAAGCAGTAATGCGTTTCGTTCGGTTTGAAGGGTGGGGCAGCCGTTGTAACTATACTTGAGACCTTAGAACTTATATCTCAAGGTGGGTGGCGCATTTACGTCGTAAATGTCTATGGGCTCCAGTAACCACTTAGCACCAGGTGGGCTGTGAGCTCGTCCACTCACCTAGCAATAAAAAAAATTTAAAAAAAAAATTTAGAGAATCAAAAGGACAAATAAAGGTATATATTAAAACTATTTGGTAGAATGAATAGGCATGCTATAAATAATATATCTTCGTATGTCCTATTTATATTTTTATCTTTATTCAGAGCTTCCTGCACACACTTATAGTAAGTTCTTTTACTTTCAGGTTCGTGCCGATTTCTTGGAAATGCGGCTATTCAATGCTATCTATGATTGGACAATTTTTTATCATAGTGATGTGCATTTTATATGTTGCCCATTTTGAGACTACTTTGAATGGAACGAGTAAATATTTCACTTTTATTATGACCTGAAATAAAAATTAGATAATTGTTGGATATTCATTGATAAAGTACTTTTAAAAAAAATAGGTTTAATAGGGAAGTTAGGCTAATGGTGGATTCTAGATTGGCTCCCACATATTTATTTCAGCTACATATCGACGCTTGGAAGGCATACGTAACTAAGCGACAATGCGTGAACTTTACAGTAGACTAATTTAAAGTTGAAATACCTGAAAAAATTCTATTTTAACGAATCTCGTGGCCTAAAGGATAAGACGTCCGGTGCATTCGTATGTAGCGATGCACCGGTGTTCGAATCCCGCAGGCGGGTACCAATTTTTCTAATGAAATAAGTACTTAACAAATGTTCACGATTGACTTCCACGGTGAAGGAATAACATCGTGTAATAAAAATCAAACCCGCAAAATTATAAATTGCGTGATTACAGGTGGTAGGACCTCTTGTGAGTCCGCACGGGTAGGTACCACCTCCCTGCCTATTTCAGCCGTGAAGCAGTAATGTGTTTCGGTTTGAAGGGTGGGGCAGACGTTTTAACTGTACTGAGACCTTAGAACTTATATCTCAAGGTGCGTGGCGCATTTACGTTGTAGATAGTTGTCTATGTTGTAGTAGTTGTCTATGGGCTCCAGTTACCACTTAACACCAGGTGGGCTGTGAGCTCGTCCACTCATCTAAGCAATAAAAAAAAATAAAAAATCTACTAGCTGTAGGATTGAAATGATTTTAATAGACCTAGAAATATATTTTTTTTTGCGCATCGAATATGGTTATCACCTATCATTTATGTATAAAGCAGTTATTGTCGCTTAGTCACGTTTGCCTTTCAAGCGTCGATATGTATATCTATGACAACACCAGAGTTTAGCAGTTTCACTTGAATTGACTTAGCTTTGGTACATTCCTGTTGTTATTAGAGTACACTGCTTGTCTATATTGAACATAAAATACACCTAGTAAGGTAATAGTAAGCCTATTCCGCTTGATGTCAGCTTTGTGCCTATTTCTGCTGCAAAGCAATATCGCGTTCCAATTTAAAAGGCAAGAAAGCAGTTGTTCCAATTCAAAATAAACTTTCCAATTTAAAAGGCAAGAAAGCAGTTGTTCCAATTCAAAATAAACTTAAACATGATTGAGTTGGGTAATGCTTTAATTACAAAAAAAAAACACGTGTGGCACTCTGAGACAGCTATTGCATACAATAATAATTTAATATTAAAACAACAATAAAATAAGACCACGCTATATTAAACATTAATAAAAGCAAAACATTAATTGTCCCCTTCACACTCATAAGCTAGACCGCGCGAGGGAGAAATGGCAGACTTTTCATGATGTGCATGCGGCAGTGCGACGTCACGCCTCGCGCTTATTCACAAACACTACAAAAGCGCAACGTGTGAATGTGTTGAACGCGAGCTACATAGTAGGCGTAGTGGGGGTGTCAGGTTATTTTCGTTACGGAATTTCTTCATTCAAGCTTCATTCGCCGCGCTCAAGGCCCGCGATAGAAGCTATGCAATAGCTTAAAAACCATGACTACAAGCTTCGATAATAGCATAAGATAGACTAGATTTACTACTATATTTACTATATACTATATTTACAAACTAATTATATTAAGCTAATTATATAGCTCGCTTAAATATCATAAAATATTTACAACAATTTTATTGGATGATTGATTGGATAAGGAAGCTCACATTGACGGATATGGTGATCGTTTTTTCGTGATTTTTATCCATTAGGCGTACATTAAAATTTTGTGGTTGTTGTCATCATAAAACCCAAATATTTGGGAGATACTTAAATCTCGCTAACGACATTTTCACGATATTTATATCCATATATGTATACATTTGCAGAATAGTAATATTTGGACTGTCTTGGTGAGATTGTAAAGGATAAAGTAGCCTTTGCTTCATAAAAAAATTATTGACGAGCAATTTCTTCCACCCGGTTGAAGATCTTAACTTTGTCGTTATATCCTAAAGTTGATATTACCATTGCTTCAAATAATTACATTAGAAATTTATTGCGAAAGCCTATTTTCTAGTACTATTATTACTTATTTTCTAGACTATAGACATAATGAAGAATATTTATTGGAGATGCCTTTTATACATAACGTTTTCAGCTCCCATAATATTCTATGGGGTTACATTTATTTCGATGATAGCTTTCATTCGAGCATCCAGACGTTGGCCGGAACTTATTCAACACATTTCCAAATCTGAAGAATTGGATCCAAGTTTTGACTTCAAACTAAAGAAGAAATGCAATATTACACTTTTGCTTGTACTGGTTTTGGCCATATGTAAGTCTAATGAAGGCATTACGATGTTTAAGCCTTATATTAATTATGTTAAGCCTTTTTGTTGTAGATAGGTAAAAATGAAGCAAGATATTAATATACTCTGAACGCTGCAATATTAATCGGAAACGCGGATTTACATCAGTAAAGTATTCTGCTATCGACTATCGTATTTTGAAGTCGTCGTGGCCTAAAAGATAAGACGTTCGGTGCATTCGTGTTGAAGCGATGCACCGGTGTTCGAATCCCGCAGGCGGGTACCAATTTTTCTAATGAAATACGTACTCAACAAATGTTCACGATTGACTTCCACGGTGAAGGAATAACATCGTGTAATAAAAAGTGAAACCCGCAAAATTATAATTTGCGTAATTACTGGTGGTAGGACCTGTTGTGAGTCCGCGCGGGTAGGTACCACCGCCCCGCCTATTTCTGCCGTGAAGAAGTAATGCGTTTCGGTTTGAAGGGTGGGGCAGCCGTTGTGACTATACTGAGACCTTACAACTTATATCTCAAGGTGGTTGGCGCATTTACGTTGTAGATGTCTATGGGCTCCAGTAACCACTTAACACCAGGTGGGCTGTGAGCTCGTCCAACCATCTAAGCAATAAAAAAAATAAAAAAATGCTGTTACGATTTAATTATTTTTACAGATTCAATTGAAAATCATTTGTAAGCAAATAAGGAACGCATTTCGTAGTGTTGTCGTTTGAAACATCGGTAAATTTATCATTTAGGATACTTTAGAACAAAAACTAAACAATTTAAACAAACATAATAAAACAGAGATCCCCTAAATGAGTGCAATAGAATGGCCTCGAGCGGGGAGAGATGGCGGGACTTGATGAGACGCATCAAGTCTGCCCCTTCCAACACTACATGACGATCACGACCACTCTGTCAAGAGTGACACAGTTGAGAAGAAGAAGAATAAAATAGAGTATACCCAATCAAGATCCAAAACTTCTTCAATCTTCAAATCGGTTTGGTATTTGAGTACCAAACAAGGGAATATGAAATGTGGTTACATTGTATAGCTTAATCATACATAGACAGACATATTTAGTTTAGTCCAAACTGTCCTTTTCTTGTTCTCTTCGGGAATACACGTGGAAAGTGAAGATAAAGACTTGCATCTCGAAAATCATACATTAAAAAATGGCTCAGCTTTCATTTTCAGTGGAACACATATTCTCAATCAGATCTGCATATTCAGCTGCACAGATTTGCTATCCAGACACTGGTTTCTATGAGGGCTTCGTCAGATATCTTTACCCTTGGGTATTCGATTTTCTTCCGTATTCGGCGGCGCTGGGAATGGTAACACAGGTAACTGTACAAATTCAAATACTGTCATTTGTTTTGTAGGGACACAGTTTGCTATTAAAACAAAATAGTCGTTGCTTGTTACTTTTAAGTTTCAGTCGCGAATAAACGCTAGGAGTAACCAGTTGTGTTATTTAATTATTATAATTATCTCACTTCCAATAACGCCCTAAACCATTAGTCACCACTACCAATATAACCGCCAAAACTTATTTGTATTAACCTCTATAGGGTGGGAGCTTATAAATTCTAAGTCCAGTACCAATTTTTATGATGAAATAGAATCACATGGGCCGTATTGTGAGCTCAAATTCTGTAATAACTAGCACAACAGAAGTTATCTTACAGTTGTTATGTTTTCAGTTCCTTAACATTCAATCGCATTTTATATGGAACTTCACGGATTTGTTCGTGATTTGTATGAGTTACTATCTGACATCACGTTTGGATTTGGTCAACAAGAAGCTGTTGCCTGCACAAGGAAAGGTAATCTCCAAAACAAATCTATATAATTCTCATTTTAATCTATTAGCAAGTTATTTGTAGCATTGTTGTGTCCTTTTGTATACTTTGGGTATGTAGACTAACTTAGATAATATAAAAAAAACAAACGTGTGGCACTCGGGAACTGCCGCGGTAAAGCTATTGCATAGCATTTTTTATCAACTTATGCAATTATAATTAGACAATGATAATTTAATATTAAAACAATAATAAAACAAGACCACGCTATATTAAACATTAATAAAATTTTGACGTCGTTGTGGCCTAACGGATAAGACGTCCGGTGCATTCGTGTTGAAGCGATGCGCCGGTGTTCGAATCCCGCAGGCGGGTACCAATTTTTCTAATGAAATATGTACTCAACAAATGTTCACGATTGACTTCCACGGTGAAGGAATAACATCGTGTAATAAAAATCAAACCCGCAAAATTATAATTTGCGTAATCACTGGTGGTAGGACCTCTTGGGAGTCCGCACGGGTAGGTACCACCACCCCGCCTATTTCCGCCGTGAAGCAGTAATGCGTTTCGGTTCGAAGGGTGCGGTAGCCGTTGTAACTATACCTGAGATCTTAGAACTTATATCTCGAGGTGGGTGGCGCATTTACGTTGTAGATGTCTATGGGCTCCAGTAACCACTTAACACCAGGTGGGCTGTGAGCTCGTCCATCCATCTAAGCAATAAAAAAAAGAAAGAAAAAAGCAAAACCTTAACTGTCCCCTTCACACTCATAAGCTAGACCGCGCGAGAGAGAGATGGGCAGATTTTTCATGATGCGCATGCAGTGTGACGTCACGCCACGCGCTTATTCACAAACGCTACACAAGCGCAACGTGTGAATGTGTTGAACGCGAATTATATGGTAGGCGGAGTGTAAGGTTGGTAAGGTTGGGTGTAAGGTTTTTTTCGTTACGGAATTTCATGATTCGGTCGCCGCGCTCAAGGCCCGCGATAAAAGCTATGCAATAGTTAAAAAAAACTAAAACTCTAACAACCGATCCTACCTTACTGGTCAAAACGGAACACTTGACTGCTTTGGGACTAAGACAAGCAGCATGGAATTACCAGGCTTACAATACTATCTACCACAAACATGTACCGGTTGGCGATTGCGATAACCTGGTATAATATTCAGGGGTTGCTGATGCCCATTCTCCGATTGATGCTTTAGTCTTTATACCTAGGCAGCACTGAAAATGTCGGGAATTAACAAAGTGACACAACATTACTATTTAAAAATGTATTTATTGCTTTTCGAAGTATTTTCCGCGAAATTTGACACATTTTTCCATACGATGGAACCAATCATTGAAGCAACCATTCCATTCGGAAGTTGGGGTCTCCAAAATGGCCGTTTTGTAGGCGTCCACATCTTCTTCAGGTGATGAAAATCTCTGTCCACGCAATTTATTCTTTATTTTAGGGAAAGTATAGAAATCATTAGGGCTTAGGTCGGGGCTGTACGGCGGATGGTCTAATAATTCTATGTTTTCTTGCTCTAAAAACTCTTTTGTTCTGTGCGCGGTGTGAGAACTCGCATTGTCGTGATGGAGGATGATGCGNTGCTCTAAAAACTCTTTTGTTCTGTGCGCGGTGTGAGAACTCGCATTGTCGTGATGGAGGATGATGCGGCGGTTGCAGTTCTCTTTACGGAGTTCAGAAACGACCTGTGGCAAACAAATGCTAGCACACCATTCTGCATTAACCGTTCTTTGTCCCTCAAGAGGAATAGTCGTAACATGGCCGGTTTTGGAGACAAACGTGGCCACCTTTTTTTTTGCAACACTCCGTGAACGAACAATTTTTGTTGGCTTTAACTCATTTTCGAACACCCAAACTCGTGACTGGTTTTTTGTTTCGGGTTCGTATGCGTATATCCAGGATTCGTCACCTGATACAATGTTGTATACAGCATTTGAGGTTCCTGCGTGGAATCTTTCGAGAGTTCTGACGCACCAAGTAACGCGAGCCGCTTTTTGCTTTTCACAGAGCGAATACGGTATCCATCGGGAAAACGACTTTTTTACACCTAATTGTTCATGCAAGATTATTTGTATTTGACTCATGCCAATGTCTAAAGTTGCCTAAATTTCGCGGTATGTCACATGTCGATCTTCCTCAATCAGCTTACGCACAGCATCAACGTTTTCTTGGCTGACTGCAGTTTTTGGACGACCTTGACGGGGATCATCACTGAGCTTGACACGTCCACGTTGAAACTCAGCAAACCAGCGATAAATTGTGGTTTTGGATGGGGCTTCATCCCCAAATGCAGAAATCATCCGGTCAACACACTGTTTTTGTGTTAAAAACCACTTCGAAAATCATAATAAATCATCGCTCTTGAATTTTCTCGAGTCAATTCCATTTTCTCAACGACTAAACAAGTTTGACAAAACCTCGTGACAAGACCGAGAATCTTTTTTTAAATAAATAAATAAATGGTATTCGATTTTTAAAACCAAGGAGTTTTCAATTAAAAAGATTTTAATATGACAGGAACAGTGGAAATATTCCATTCCCGATACTTTTAGTGCAGCCCTCGTACCACGATAATAGCTAAGGTGATGGTATTCTAGACTATGGACACTACAGACTTATTACGCAGAAATTTCAGTTTAACGGTATTTTTGTTTGTAATAACAAAATATTCATGAGAATCCGCAGGTGTTAGCGACGTAAGTCCTAAGTCCGAATATGTTCTTCGTGGTGAGTGCTATCACTTGTACCGAAGCCTTCCGAATGACAAAGTTTCGAACATTCGAGAATGTTTAGGGATATAACTACAGCCCCCTATGTTGTGGATTAGAAAGTTCCCAGCCGAGATTAAATAGAAAGCAGAACTTAGATTTAGTTATTTCAACGTCTTATAAGATTCTTTGGAATAAGTGATCGTATATTAGGAATATCTGATTAAGATATTATGGATTTTATAGTGTTGTTTTATATTTTTGTACAATGGCTGTCAACTATTCAGCCAAAGCTCTTGAGTGATTTACAAATTTTAGGACATTTCACGAAAACATGCATTTTCTCAAATATACAAGGAACCTTTTAAGGCTACGTAGAATTTAATTAATATTTACAGAACCAACTAATCGACTTTTGCTGATGCGTATTTTTTCAAAGCTTAGTGATTTCAGGTTTGACAAGTTATGTTTTGAAGATACCTTAATACGCAGTCATTGCTCGAGTTGACAATAGCTACATTTTTAGATTTTCCTTAATTAGGATTGGTTCTTGACCAAACAGTCTTAAGAGGTGACTTTGGAAGCACTTATTGTTGTTATATATACATGACTTTTGCAATCTAGGCACATCAAAATTGCCTCGATTATAGTCTCTCTCTGTCTACGCTGTACAGATTTTGGTAGTCTTTAAGTCGCTCTTCATATGGCTTGTGTCGTAACATCGAACCAATTATTTGGCTTCTATTAAAGCATAGATTTCCAATTGAGTAAGCCCATTTTTATATGCACAACACAAGTTTTTGAGTTTGAGCTTTTCATCATCACTCCTGACTTCAAGAAACCTGAACTGTCTTGTGAGTTAAATCCTGATTATAACAGATAAAAGCTTAGCCATTTGAGTTAGAATTCACAGGAAAAACAAAACTGTCTGTGAAAAGTACAATTTAGTTGTATATTTTTATTTTTAGTATCTCCCGGAAATATTTTGGCGAACAACAAGAGAAACATACTGCAGAGCCACAAAACTGGTCAGGAAGGTTGATGAAATCATAAACGGAATCCTGTTTATTTCATTTGCAAATAATTTATTTTTTGTATGCGTCCAACTATTTAATACTTTTGAGTAAGTTTCTATTCTGATTTAAGATCATGAAAATGATTTATTTTAAATATCTGAATATTTTTAAATAAAAATGTAGATATAAAATATATTTCTTCGAATATATATATAGGCTAATAAATGAATAAAATAAATACATAATAATAGGACCTAATGGTGAAAAACATTCACTCCATTCGTTGTACCAAACTAACAAACTTTTACAATATGATTAACGAAACTCAAATACTTTGCTTTGAGGATAATAATAATTGTCCTTTTAACTTTATTAACTCTTTATGACAGTGACAGTGTTGATATGGTTGGATTATGTTACAACTATTCTGAAAGGTGAGTTATATTTTTACTTTTACGACTTTTGTATTGAATTCTACCAATAGGTTATATTAAAGATTCGTTTTCCAGGAGAACTAAACCTGTCGGAAGTGAACCTGTTATTTATTTACTGTTCTCGTTGGGGTTCTTAATATCTAGATCTATAGCAGTTTCTTTGATAGCGTCACAAGTAAATTTGGCATCAACAGTGCCCGCACCTATCCTATATGATGTACCTTCAGCTGTTTATTGTGTAGAAGTAAGTAATACTAATTATAGTAATATTAATTAGTTTATATTCGGTAACTTTTAATTCTTATTAATAGCGGTTATTAATTTAATAATAGTGTAGTATGCTTAAACAATTTTTCAATATACCATGCCATGCAATACCATGTCTTGCATATCTTTCTTCATTATTCATAATTGTCTTGTAGCTCCTATCATAATTATGGAGTACGTGATATACTAAAGAATGAGAAACGACTGGAATATAATTTAGGAAAAACCTCTGGGCTTATTTGTAACTTATTCCATTTAATGATCATAATAAACAATGGTCACTCTAAAGTTTTCCACTAGCTCCAGTCATGATCAAAGATGAATATCGTTTACAAGAATTAGAAACTGTTAAATAGAGAACAAATAATTATTTTGAATTGTTTTAAAAAAATATACTAGGTGCAGAGATTTCTGGAACAAGTTAACGGAGACAACGTTGCTCTGACCGGATTGCAATTTTTCAGCGTCACTCGTGGATTGCTCTTGAGTGTAAGTAAAATTTTGAATCTAATATTATTTACTAGCATCGTTATTGCGACGAAACATGATTTTTTTTTTATTGTTAAGTGGTTACTGGAGCCCATAGACATCTACAACGTATATGCGCCACCCACCTTGAGATACAAGTTCTAAGTCTCAAGAATTGTTACAATGGCTGCCCCACCCTTCAAACCGAAACGCATTACTGCTTCACGGCAGAAATAGGCAGAGCGGTGGTACCTATCCGCGCGGACTCACAAGTGGTCCTACCAGCAGTAATTACGCAAATTATAATTTTGCGGGTTTGATTTTATTACACGATGTAATTCCTTCACCGTGGAAGTCAATCGTGAACATTTGTTGAGTACGTATTTCATTAGAAAAATTGGTACCCGCCTGCGGGATTCGAACACTGGTGCATCGCTTCAACACGAATGCACCAGACGTCTTATCCTTTAGGCCACGACGACTTATCAAGCCCCATTATGATCGCAATATGAATGCCGCTCTTTTCCCTAACGAATCGTTGGTAGCCTAGGGGCTAATCCAGCTTCCAGCTCACGGGCTCAACTTAAGAGAATTATTAACACTAGCCCTAGTAAGTCAGTGCTTCGCTGAATCTAGCACCAGATCGGAATCGTGACCCACTGGGAAGATCCGGCGAGAAACTCAGTGGGTTGTGTCTATGAGTTAGAGCCCGTTCAAAGCCTCGAGATCATCTTGAGTTATAGCAATAATTACTTTACCCGTCGACCTGAAATTTATGATGTTTTGCGACAGGAATAATAAAAGATCGACCCGTTCGACCCAAAACATGCTGTATTAACAGTACATAAAATTTGAATTTGCGCGATACGATTGCACGTTCAAATATTTTCTACTAGTACTATCAGAAGAATTTTCTAACTAGGAAATCTTCTAATCAGACGGAATCTATACTAATATTATAAAGAGGAAAGATTTGTTTGTTTGTTTGTTTCGAATAGGCTCCGAAACTACTGGACCCATTTGAAAAATTCTTTTTCCATTAGAAGCCGACATTGTCCCAGATGAACATAGGCTACTTTTTAAAAAAAAATTTTTTTTTTTTGTTTGTTTCATGTGTGTTTTAATGTTTCCGAAGCGAAGCGAGGGCGGGTCGCTAGTATGGAATAAGCGTGGAACTCAAACAAGGAGCCACCGCTGTCCACTTCAAATCAAGAGTTCAAAGTTGGTAGGCAGCGGCTTGGTTCTGCCTCTGACATTGCTGAAGTCCATGGGCGACGGTAACCACTCACCATCAGGTGGCACGTATGCTCGTCTGCCTACAAGGGAAGTCATTCGAACCAATGTCATTATTGCCTTGAAAAAAAGTAACGTGGTCTAATCCCAAGTATCCCAAAACTATATAGATTAATTAAAGATCTTATGTATTTTTCAGGTTGCCGGCACAATAGTTACATACGAACTCGTAATGGTTCAATTCAATCAAGCACCAGCTTCGGATTCATTTACTGAAAAAATAGTAGAAAACAATATCAGTACTATAGAAACATTTTACAACTACTCGTAGTCAGAGAAAAACGCTTTTAATGATCATCACAAAAATGATCACGATTCCGGTATAATATCTGAGATAGAATTCTGCTATAAGATCTGGTATAGTGTTTGTATCGCAGCTGTAATGCCTTCAGGTTTAAAGAGTGACGAAATAACTTTATATATGAAGGCGTGTAGTAACCATTGCTCGCCTACCTGTCCTGGTGAACCTGGAAAGATCTCAAGGTCAGCAGTAATCCTTACTTCACAAAAAAAAAATCGGTTGTCTATCTTTCAGTCTATTACCCCGACTGATTCGCAAATATTAATAGATATTTACTTGTACCGTAAATTTATGATAACACTTTCGATTTTTTCCTTCACGATGTTCTGTCATCGAAGTGGAAAATAAAATAATCAAAATCGTAATGTCACCATTTGCTCTTTGGTGTCTTTGCATTGTTCCTCTCCGACGGATCCAGTTTGTTTTAGAAACAAGTGACTATAAACTTCATAGAAGCCACGTCTTTTTTTTATGTTGTAGTGTCAAAAACACGTAGATCAAGACAGTTCGGTATTCTTTAATTTTCTGTAATTCATTTTACTTTAAGAATAAAAAGATTAAATGTGTTATTTCTTTGATGTTTCAATTCTCTTTGATATTTTTTTTATTCTTTACCGTAATACAACGTAATGCTTGTGTAAGTAAATGAAGAAGCTAGGTACTTATACTATGATGATTTTATATGTTATTTTTATTATATCATTATTTTTATTGAACTATACTAGCGACCCGCCTTCGCTTCGCTTCGGGAGCTGTAATTTATTATTGATCTTATTAAAATTTATTTTATACAAATCTGGTTTTGACAATTACAAACACAATAATAAAAGAACGTAACATACAAAAAATCTAATCTTTCCTCTTCTTATATTCATGGCTCACTATTTTGGCGATAATGGCTTACAAATAAGAGATAGTGTATGCTGTCACAGGCTTTTTGTAGGTCTATTTAAGATAAACATTTCTATTTTACATTATGTATGTGTAATGCTTTACAGCTTTTTATTAATTTATGCAAAAACACGGTGTTTTTTTTATTGCTTAGATGTGTGGACGAGCTCACAGCCCACCTGGTGTTAAGTGGTTACTGGAGCCCATAGACATTACAACGTAAATGCGCCACACACCTTGAGATATAGTTCTAAGGTCTCAGTATAGTCACAACGGCTGCCCCACCCTTCAAACCGAAACGCATTACTGCTTCACGGCAGAAACAGGCGGGGCGGTGGTACCTACCCGTGCGGACTCACAAGAGGTGAGTAACTACGGTTACCAGTAATTACGGTTTGATTTTTATTGCACGATGTTACGGATATTTTAAGAATCCAAATTTCATTGGAGTTTCTTACATTAAGCATATTTTGGCGACGCGAATGGTTTTTTAACAAAAAAACAAAATAACGCGAGTAAACTGAATCTATAAAGAGCTTCCTGTTTATTTGCCGTGCAGGAAGCAACGTTCCAACTGTTATGGTAATATCCGTATGTGTCGCAATGACGCAGATCTCACTAACGTGATACACTGCCCTGTAGAACGTTGAGCAAATATGCCAACATTTAAAAAATACAGGACTTTTTTAGAAATACATTTGTAATGTGATCTCAGAGTTGTCGGCAGTATAATTTGTAATACTGACTAATCATAATAATAAGTATTAACAAATCAGGCACGGTTATCCGGCCCTAATTCAGAATTTGCCTGTGTTATGGGTACCATAGATTAAAAAACATATATTTCTTAAAAATATATACATATATAGATAATAAACAGACAAAGAGCAAACAAACTCGCTCATCACACGAAAGTTTGCCTAATGACAGAATCGAACTCACGACCCTAGGTGCAACAGTCAGGGCCGTTAACTACTGCACCAACGAGTCAATCCATAATAATAATACAGTTTTGCTTTTGTTTGTTGTATATACTTGGATTACAAATTAAAACGGTGCACTCAAATCGAACAATGTGAACAAAAACAGTCGTGTTTACCAAAGACTTTAAATATATTAGAATAACAATGTCATGTAACAATAATGTAACCATCTAATGCAAGACTTTAATAACTAATCGTGGCTAAGAGAGGCATATGAAGAAATGCAACATTGACCCCTCTCGTTGGGAGGCCCAAGCACAGAATCGTTTGGAGTGGAGACGCTTGGTGCAGCAGAGCGTGCATGTCTTTGAAAACGACAGGAGGCGCGAACTGGACGACGGACGAAATAAATTGAAAAATAGACCGCCTTCCACCATTTTTTACAACTTCGTGGTTGGCGTTCTTACGTGTAGCTTCTGTTTGCGCACGTTTATGAACAAGATAAGCTACCATAGTCATATTAGAGCGCACGAGAGGCGCGGACATTAGCTTTTAAGTTATTGAAGTGAAAATGTTGGTCGCCGTTGCAGAAACCGACTTGGAACCATGATAATGATACAGAGAGTGCAGTTAGCACCAACGTTTTGCTTACGACAGTACACATCGTATGTTCACGCTTAAGTGATCGAATTTCGACTTGTGTGCTTAGTACGAGTATGTTAACGCGCTCGATAACGTAAAAGTTAACTCAAATGTGTATGCAGTTGAAAAGGCGCCCCTAGCGGCAAACTTAGGCAAACGTTCCCGGAGCGTACATACATACGATTTTAATGTTGTTTTGCATAAAAAAATTTTTTTTTTATTGCTAGATGGTTGGACGAGCTCACAGTCAACCTGGTGTTAAGTGGTTACTGGAGCCCATAGACATGTACGACGTAAATGCGCCACCCACCTTGAGATATAAGTTCTAAGGTCTCAAGTATAGTTACAACGGCTGCCTCACCCTTCAAACCGAAACGCATTAACTGCTTCACGGCAGAAATAGACAGGGCGGTGGTACCTATCCGCGCGGACTCACAAGAGGTCCTACCATCAGTAATTACGCAAATTATAATTTTGCGGGTTTCATTTTTACAAAATACAAAAATATTACAAGAGAAGAGAAACTTCGGTGAAACATTTGGCGACAAGCACGACGTTCAATGTATTAAGTATGTATGTGCATTTGAGCATTGCATTAATAATACAATTAGCTTCTGCTTGAATTTCTTCAAGTACGTGTGCCACAAACAAAAAAAATAGCTGTACAAACGCTACAGTTTTATGACATTCCAGCGTTGCGAGAATTCTTTCAACCTTTTACCCTTCATATTTATTAAGGGTTGGAAAATACTTTAAGGGGGTGAAATGGGCTTTTCATATATCTAATTGTTGACGTAAATCTGCTTTTGTACCAAAAATATTACGCGTCGAAATCGAAAAATTGATTGTAACGGCAACCCTTGGAAATTGGGAGCATCTGGGTTTAGTGTTTTGATATATTATGGTACCAAAATCATTTGAAAGGTAACTCTAAGTCAGTTAGGTTTTATAAGTTAGTTATAAAGCAACGACTGCATGCAACCTTCGACAAAGACTCTACGAAGTACTGGTTCCGGATCCCGTAGAGTTTTACTTCTATGTTAGGCTGAGGCTCTCGAGGTATTAGCTTACAATATTAGCTTATTAATAATACATACCGGATTCAATAGACGAGAAAATTGGGGTGTTTATTATTTATTTTTTTGCGAAGTACACTTTATTACGTCACTAATATCAGAGTGCAGGCATGCGAGACAGAGATAGTCAAATGTTCCAACTTTGCATTAGTCTTGCAACCGACTTAAATAATGAATTTATTTTTATTTATTAATCAGATTTCGAAATCGTTTCAAAAAGTCCATTTACGTTTTTACAATATTTTTTGTGGCTATATAATAATAAATTTTACATAATAATCATTCATGATGCTTCCCTATTAACCGTTCTGATTTTCTAATAAAGATAATAATCATTAATTTAGTCATTATTCATGTAAATTTGTCTACGTAAAAATTATGTTTATACACATAATAATAACAGCCCTGATCTCCAATTACGAGCGCTTTACTCAGCTTCGCTCCTTATTAAACTTTCTCGTAAACGAATCGAGAAGAAAGCGGAGGTGTGAGAGAAATGGACGGATTTGAAGTAACGATAATTATAACAGCAATTAAATCAGAAATATTTCCTATGATATTCCATGGCAGATGTCTTATTGTAAGATAGACTTTTAATGTGACTGTAATAAAATGCTTGAATAAGTATTACTTTTTATTAGTATTTTATTATCAAATAAATGTTTTTATACGTACCTACAAATACTTTTGGCCGTATACAAAATTTGTTAGTTTCTAATTTTCAATAGCGCTCAAAATGGAGGCTATTTTTGTACATACTTTTGGCAGTGAGTTTGGATATGTGACAAAAGCTTTGACAGAAAATTTCTTAAAAAACAAAGTCGATAAAGGTATTATTTAAACGTGGGCCTATTACTTTACTAAAGAAAAAACAATGCTTTCGTTTAAATATATTTTCCGACAAGCTTACCAAAGTTTTACTTACCCTGCGGATCACGGGCGTCAAAATACGAAAATTATATTTCAGCCATCGCATCGATACTATTTCAATATTGTTTCGTGATAATACCGCTAACTGCGCTCGCTTCATCTAGACGCCTCGAGGGTGGCGAGATTCTTAAATTATTTTTGCTCATTTTCTCTGCACCGCCGGACGGTATAATTGTAAAGGACGTACTGTTGATATTTTTAAATCTTCAATATAAAACGGGTTTTCGGAGCCTATCTACATTTTTGCGTAATATTCTAAATAATATTGAACACGATATAATAAACTAGACATAAGATCGTAGCCAGGTCCCTGAAACTGCGATACTTTAATACATAATATTTTTCTGTATGGAAACTAGCGACATCTTGTAGCGGATGCCCCTAAACTGTTATGTTGTTAAAGTTAAGGCTTTTAATTATTGTATAACTAAACACAGAAAAAAAATACATAAATCATTCAAGTCTTTATTTGTTATAGACAAATTAATTAAATTAATTAAATCTTATC